CTTGCTACATACGGAACTCGAATTGCATTTTGCAACTAAATGCTTATCGCTTAAGCAGTTCAAACATAGGTTGTTTGTCTTTACTAACTTATAACGTTCGCTTGGTGAATATTTACGAAAAGTCGCACAATTATATAAATTACCGTGTTTATCTTTACATACTATACAAGTATGCTGGAGTGATGTCGGCGTAGCGGTTACGTAAGTTAACGACCCTGCTATTTTAGATGGTTGAGTCTGTCTACGGTCGACGCACCTTTTAATCTCCTGTTTAACGTTCGGAGAGCGCTGCATCACCTTTATTTGATCTCGCACGAACGATGCTAATGAATGAAAGGAAGGCATCTCCGAGCTACGATGCTCCATTTCAAACGCACGCACGGTGTCGGAGTCTAATTTCTTTAATGCTATATGGAGAAACACCACGTCCATAAGGTCATTAAACTTCAAATTCTTAAGTGCAGCCACCGATGCCACAAATTTATCTAGAAACTGCTCTAAGCCGTTGATGTTCGCGGATGATATAGGTTTAAGATCGAATATCTGGTTCAAATATTCGGAAGCTAACATTCTCCTATCTTCATATTTAGTTTTAAGCGTTTCAAATATTAATAAGTAATTGTTTGCTGTAGGTGTAAAACCCGAGCAGATCGACTGTGCTCTGCCACTAAGTTTACTAATTAAGTAATATAATTTTTCAGCGTCCGATAACGATGGGTTGTTGTGTATATTGTTTTGAAAACTACTGAAGAAGAAGGGCCACGTCTTAATATCACCATTGAATACCGGAATATCTATTGGCGGTAACCTAATTGAGTCACGAGGGCGTACCTGTATTTCCGGCTTTGCTTCGCTTTGAGATTGTAGGAGTTTTGCAGTTCTTTTTACGCGACACAGCATATCTTCGAATGCCAGCAGCGGTTGGTAGTTCACTATGTATTTCGGATCGCTTTGTAATTCCAAATGATTAATTTGGTCTAATATTCTTTCGTAATCTATCCGCAAAGTATCTATCGTTTCGATTTCATTCAAAAAGGCTTCCCGCACTGCCTCTATATTAATGTTCTTTATATAATCACTTATATTCTGCACACGCGAAAAGAGTATGTCCCTCTTGGCATAAAGCGTTTTAATTTTGATTTCACTTCCACTAACTGCCATTTTTAAATTATTATAAAAAAGTTATATTAATCACAATTAATCTCACACGCATAAACGACGTAGGATGAACACTCGGCGTGCCGTATTACGTAATTAGATCGAACACCCGTTGCGGTCGAGTCTACGCGTCGTTTGCTAAACCTAATAATTTTATCAAAATTGTGGGTAAGCGTATCAAACGGTTGCTATCACACCGTTTCAATTATTTAATAAGCTTTAAATTTAACCAAATACGAGCGCTATTAAATGAATAATTCTGTTTGCGAGTACCAAATCAAATTTTAATTTAAACGAACACTATTTAAGTCTATTCCATAAATTAGAGTGCGTTATCTAAACAATTAATTTAATAATTCTACCAGAAAATGGTTGGATAACCACTAAACACCAATCCAGATCCTACTCGAAGGACCATAAAATGGTGGAGCCACGTGTTTAAGGCTGCCGAAAATCTAGTTCCCCGGTCAAACCTCAAACCTATTACGCGAAATATTAACTAAAGTGGACTGTATTTGCGATTGCTTCTACGCTTACGTAAAAGCGACTACTATAGCATGCGGTACAATGCACTCGCTCTTCCCTAAACTAAACTATTACTTGCCAAATCGATGAAAGGAATCCTGCCTGATGAGGAGAACACAGAATTGGAGCGGTTAAAACAATTATTAAATATTAATCAGGCAGTAAATTAAGGAATATTGACTCACCGGGGTTCTTCTATCCTTTAGAACACTATAGCGGCGATTTCCGGAACCTCCTCTGGACAGACACACTGGGGCCCCAGGGGTGCGTCAGGAGAGAAGCGTTGTAGTTCAACGACGGCTGCGGCGGGAAGAAGAGAGCGCGCGTCGGTCGCGCGTGTCTTATATATCCTCGGCTCCGGTGATTGCGCGATGTTCTAGAATCGTCTTCTTTCCCCTCCCACCCCATCACCTGGATGTGTCGATAGGAGGGTACGAATGATATCGTTTAGGAAGGGAATAATGATTCAGCAAGTTCCTACCGTCAAAAATAAAAACGCGAATGGTTTTCCGCGCAACCAGAGGTTGTTCTCAGGAAGATATTGCTGCCCATCTGCCCGTCTCGATTCATTTCGTCTCTATCGCCTCTTATTCTTTATTTATGATATTCGTACACCGCGACATCACGGTTAAACTTTTAATGTTGATGTAGATTTTTTCAATTCGGCTCATACCAATACCCAAATGTCCTCAAATCTCTTCATAGGTTTTTCTTAATTGGTCGCCTGACAGTAGCAATGTTTTCCTCAGAGATCGCTGTTGAGGGTCGAACTTTACGAATTTCATCAAGGAGAGAAACACGGCCACGATCAAATTCTGCGTACCAAAGTCTTACGGTGCTTAAATGAGGTGCTTCACTGCAAAAAGCATTTTAAAGATGAGCAGCGCAATTGTTATGCTCCTTATCAAAACCGGTTTTTAGGATTAAGGGGAAATATAACCTCAAATGGCTTAGCAAGATCCTCCGTTATGCTGAAAATATTGCAGCATTAATTTTAAAATAAATATATGGTAAAGTTGAGGATTAATGTTAAGTACTATGTTAGAAGAAAACATGATTCCGTAAAATTTTCTCGATAGAAAAAAATCCAAAGTTACCTCCAAACCGAACAATAAACCGCTGTTATTCATAAAATAATTTAAATAAGATCATGAAATTTGCATACTAACTGAACTACCTATAAAGCAGGGCTTAGGTTTTTTTTTAGTTACCATCATTTTCACTGTAAAAAGAAATTACCTAAACTATAGGCGTCCTGAATCTTGTTTCCTGCCGCCCGGTTCCAATTCATGTTTTCGTCTAACAGACTCAACTTTACCATATATTTATTTCAAAATTAATGCTGTATTATTTTCGGTATAACGGAAGATCTTGCTAAGTCATTTGAGGTTATATTCCCTCTTATGATACAGTATTTTAAATAGATTTTCTACATAAGTAGGCCGTTATTTTTCGCGTATATTTCATTAAAATCCCCTAACTTTCTTCATTTTTATATTCTTTTACAGTCCGTAAAATTCCATAGCTGAAGATGTGTCTTTTGTAAAGGACAGGGTGACAAACGAGCACACAGTCCACTTGATACTAAGTCGTTACTGTGGACCATAGACATCTACATCTGTCCTCGATTACGAATCAAAATGCAGATGCCTTGTCACCCGCGAGGACTACTCACCTTATATCTTCAATGTATTGTCAAATTGACAAAATCATGAAGCGGCCAAATATTTCATGAAAAGCAACAATTTCATGAAATATTAAACTGTCTATTGTTTGCATCATGATGTGCCTTGGTTCAAGTAATCAATAGAGATCGTTGGACAATATGACCAACCAAACGCACGGCGACTTCATGATGTGGCCAAAGATAAATGATCATAATATTGTAATAGAGATACACTATTCTGTATCTACCGTCATAGGCACTGATATCGCATTTCTAACAGATTCCATATTACTTTGTGCCTATGTTATCTCTATATATAAAAATCAATTGGTAAATCACAATAACCCCGCTAAAACTCAAAACCCTTACGAAACACAGCAGCGTGGAGCCGCTATTTTAAGCTGATATTCTGTGAGAGCGTGGTCTTTCCCCGGTCGAGCCGACCCAGTCGTGCTACAACTATACTACTAATAAAGCTCCAGCATAGCTCTTCCACGTCGAAAAACAACTCTACCACTCTCCCAGAATTTGCCGGAATTTACATTAATCGTCCCGCTTGAAGATAGATTGAAGGTAACAGTACCAGACATGAGCACGGTTGGCGCTGCTTCTGGTCTTAGTATGTTATAATCTCCTCCGGAGCGAATTTCGGACACGGCGGCCTGCCTCAACGGAGACTAGCCATCGGCGCAGGACAGGATTATAGTGTCCAAGTGTAAGCAAGCACAGGTGCACTCTCATAATCCGATGGGACGGTAAACCGACACGACCGGAGAGAGATCAGGCGCAGGACCAACGGCTTTACGTGCTTTCCGAGGCACGGGGGTGTCACCGCCAACTTCCTGACTCCGGGCAGCTACTGAGAATTTCTTGACGGAAAAATTCAATAATTAATTTTTTGGCCCGACCCGGGATTCGAACCCAGGACCTCATGATCAGCAGTCGCACTACTACAACCACTAGACCAACGAGGCAGTCATTAGTATGTTTATTTATTTATTTAATCTTCATTATACACCTTATATACTAAGGGATATAAAGGGCGGACTTAATGCCTTATGGCATTCTCTGCCAGTATGTTATGTCTGATGTAAACGAGACGACATGGTTATTAATAAGATTATTCTCACATTAACCATTGTTGCTTCTTACGACACCCACAGGATGAAATGGGATGATATATTCTCCTATACTGCCACCACATGTTAGATTGGTCCCAAAAATTTAAAACTGGTGTTCTACTCTAAGCACCACATTTATTGATTAATTATTTGGTCGAACACCGCGCCGTCGATACGGTAGGATTGAGTACATCTCACAGCCACTAAAGGTCATTATGTCACTAAGAAATAACCACGTGAAAGTAGAAAATATTACAACTCTAGCGTGCAGAATCGATAAACTGTCAGTACCATATGCGTCTCCCATACCTTCGATACACGTTTGTCTGCAAAATTTGCGCATCATTTTGCACACAATTACGAAAACGTAATAAATGCTCGACAAATGTAATTCGGTAATTTACGCGAGAAAGAAAAAAAAATTGAAAATAATTGATATATTAAGTAGTTTAATTTTTTTTAATTAAGTTACCGTATATTTAGTGACTTTAACGTAAGGACTACATAATTGTTATAAATAAAACAAAAAAATGCAGGTCAATTTTGGATTATTTATGGTGAGTTGAACTGTTAAATGAAAATAAATACCAACTTATGAATAATTTTAAGGCAACGAGATGCATAGGTATTATATATTTTAGGTGTTCTTGTAATGCAACGGAGTCATAAAATTTTGGTATAAATTAATTTATATTGAGTTATACAGGTTTGGTGGAGTTTAATTTATATCTTATATCGCTAAAACTCGAAAACGTCTCGAACGATTTTGATGACTTTTTGTGTGTATTTGAATGAGTCCCTAAATAGTTTAAAAATTCTCAAAAATTTCAAAAATTTGGACCCGGTAGGGGGCGCTGTTGTCGAGATCTAGAAATCACCCGTGTGAAGCCGGGGCAGATCGCTAGTCTACAATAAAATAAAATGATGGTATAATTTTTTATTCTGATTGCAGTTTTAGTAATTCTAAATATAATATATTGTTGATTTCTAAAATTATTTTCGCTGGGAGCGTAGTAAAAAGTGATTAACTAGGTTGCTGCGGGACACATGTTCGATTCTCGCACGGTACGAGTGCTTGTAATGCCTACGAATTATCGTTCTGAACTTACCTGTCTTCTCTAAATGTTTTACATGCTACCGCGTTGGAAGAAAGTGCTGGTTTGCACATATTTTTTACGTGGTATTATATATAAAATTGGAGTATATAAAAATGTTGTTATATTCACAGAATATTTATATACTTTAATTTGTGCATAAAATAAAAATAAAATGTTGTATACCGCATATGCAAACAGAGAATCCTAAACTTAACGATGTCTCATGTCATAAAGTAAGTTATAATAAGATTGAAGTTAAGTTATGATGAGATTCTCAATTCGACTGTTGTTTTTTGTGTGTGTTACGCGATATCTTTGTCAATTAAAAATAATAATTAGTTTTCTGAAGTTGCTTTTTCCATTTTATTAAAAGTTTAATTTTTATACAAGATTTGGTAAATGAGTAAGCAGTCGAGTCATTCGTGCAAGAACCATAATATAAGAAGCATGACGATAATTATGGAGTAATTACGTGGTAGCATCATGTAGAGGTAAGGGGAACAATCTGTCATAGGAGAATAGTTGAAAAAGTGTCCATCTGTAAGCAGTAAATAACAGTTCAAAAACTCTCCACAACAGCGCTCGAGTAGCTACAGGATACATGAAATGAACTTAACAGTTGTCGACGGCGTGAAGTGAGCTGCTAAACTGCTCAGTAGCTCTAAAATCTTAAATAATTTTATTTAAGTAGTAAATATAACCTCGGAAAAGTCGTCTATCTTACTAATATTTTACGGCGCGTTCTTTTAAATTTACCCCATAGCCATAGTGGCGCCACCCTTATTTAACGGTTTTCTGCTGACACTTTTTAATATATATAAAAGTAATCTGTGACACGGTCTGTACTCCTTACCTCTACACTCCACACGTAATTCTGTGAGAGCGTGGTCCGTGGATCCGGCTGGTTCGTGCTGCAGACATCGCACTCCTGCAGCGTGGCTCTGCTACTTAGTAAGTAGCAGAGTCAAGGTCTACTTACCAGCAAATAAATAAATAAATTTATCAATACGACACACATATTTGTGTATAAAAAATAGATGAATGGCTAATAACATTTTGTGGGTTAAAGTTGAAGAAGATATTAATATTCATGAGACTGTTGCGTACCGTATTACTATGATTTATGAAATAACTTAACTTAAAAATAACTAATGATTTCTTATATTTACGCGAACACTACACATTGAAATAATACTAGTTTTTACGGATATTATCGCGTATATTTAACTATATAAACTCCCGTGACCAAGGGTGCTGTAAAGCGCTCGAAACGTCGGGTATTTATAGTTAAATATACGCGATAAAATCCGTAAAAACTAGTATTATGAAAAAAAAAACTTTTAATTTAAAAGAAATAAACCTTTTTCGTGTGAAAAATATTTTCTTGATAAGTGGCCTAAAGTATATTAAATTTGCTATAATTTTTTTATAGGATAGGGTGACAAACGAGCACACAGTCCACCTGATGGTAAGTGGTTTCTGTGGCCCATGGACATCTACATCTATCCTCGATTGCGAATCAAAATACACGCACCCTAGGACAAGATGGAATGCCTCGTTTCCAGTAAAAAGGTTCCCCGGTTTTCTACACTCACCATACGAAATACAGCAGCATTAAGCTACTATTTCACGCTGGTATTCTGCGAGAGCGTGGTCCTTCCCCGGTCGAGCAGAGCCATTAGTGCTACAACTATAATATTGCTGCAGCATGGCTCTATCACGTAAACCGGAACAGAAAATTAACTGCTCTGTACTTTTATAAAAATGTTTTTTTATTTACAGCCTATCAAATGTCCACTGATGGACATCAGCCAGTATCATTCGTTGTCCAAACTCTTAAATTTACGAAAGTTCTACACCGATTGCTTCGAAAACGTTGCATTAGAATACGTGCATATATGCGCGTGTAATATTTTACTTTTTTATTATTTTATACTTTTTGAAAAACATTTCCAGCCACAACCACACGTATTCGGATATAAAGCTACTCTTTAAATATTCAAACAAATGGTAATATTATAAATTTTGTACAGTCGACTTAATACGACCGAATCAACGTATTCGAAGTCTATTAAAAACGCATTATCAGAACTTAATTAAATTTACATGAGACCACAAGAGAACCAACAGTTTTCAGATAAAAAAAGAATCATCAATATCAGTTCACCCAGTGAAACGTTCTGAGGTAACACACATAAAAAAACAGACAGTCGAATTCAATACCTCCTCTTTTTTGAAGTCGGTAAAAATGGAGCATTTGCGCTCTGTTAAGTTATTTCTATACATAAATGTCTGTTGCTATCCGTTAGTCTCCCTAAACCTCAAAAATGACTCGACGCCAAATGTTTACATCAATTTTTATATTGATGATATACATACACTTTTTTTTATAACAACATTACATCATGATTTCCTAAATTTACGCGAACACTACACATTGAATAAAACGTCGGGAATTAAAAATAAGTAAAATCAGTTAAATAAACGCGATATAATCCGTAAATTTAGTTTTATTCAACATTACATCAATCCTTATATTATTTTGTTATTGTTTTATTATTAATTTTTTGGATATATTGTTTTGTTTACGCCCTGGATAGTTTAGTTAAAAGGAAAAACTGCGGCTGCCATCCCACTTGTGAAGCGTGGCATCTATAGCAAGTATACCACCGTGAGGCAATCTTTGCGGCCTGTGTTCAGCAGTGGACTGTAATAACGGTAACGGTATGTCAACTATAAAATACGAATTCAATCGTTATGTTGCTGAGAATGAAAAAAAAACGGAACATTTAAAAAAAGAATGGGGTCTCGCGGAAAAAAACGTATACAAAAACAGTTTATTGAATCGGTGTAAACTAAAGATTTGCTTTGATGATTTGGTAAAGTGACTTGCGTATTGTGCTAGGGTTGCCATATTGAAAGCCGGAATAACTCGTCATAATTCCAAAATTTCTGAATATTAGGTTTTTTAAGTTGTTTGATGGAATGAATATTATGATTATTTCATACTTCAAACTTAACTTTTTTTCCAAATTCTCCAACCTACTTAGAAGGCTACAGTGCAAAAATTTCTAAGAATCTAACACGTTTTAAAAATTTTTACACTGACATTACTTCGCTCAAGCGTACTCACACGAGTTCAATCAGCGTTTTACATAAAGCCAAAGAATTATGAAGCTAATTGTATTTTCGTTATAACGTGTATAATTCTTAATCACTTAAAACAAAATATTCACAATTAATATATAAAATTATGTAATGTTGGTTTTAAAAATTGTGTATGTATGTCACCATGTAAAAAATTGTGTATGTATATGTTAAAGAGCAATGAAAAGGAGTATACTAAAAATACAGAGAAAGAAACACAGACATAAGTAAAACAACAAAAATAATAGATGCTTTGGAACATTCTCAAAAACAAAAATGGAAAAAGGCGAGTCATATTGTGCGTAACACGTATGAACACAGTAACTACACCAACCAACAAAAGGCAAAGAGATAGACCGAGAGAAAAATAGGTTCATGAAATAATAAGAAAAGCTGTTGAAAATTGAATCACAAAGGCAAAGAACAAACAGACGGAGAAAGATAGAGGGGTACATAATGAATTATGTAATTCATTTTGTTAATTGTTCTGAAAATTGAATTTCCTTGATATTTTGAAATTTATAAATTTGTTATGCGCTTGGAACTTATTTTTTTTAAAGTTTTAGCACGAATGGGTCGGTTCGATCGGGGCAGGACCACGCTCTCACAGAATACCAGCGTAAAATAGCAGCTTAATACTGTTTTGTTTCGTATAGTGAGTTTAGAGATCCGGAGACCCTTTTTTACTGGAAACGAGGTATTCCATCTTAGTCCTCAGGGTGACAATGCATCTGTGTTTTGATTCTTATTCGAGGATAAATGTAGATGTCTATGGGCCACAGCATCCACTTACCAATAGGTGGACTGTGTGCTCGTTTGTCACCCTTATTCTCTAAAAGAATATACAGGCACAAATGTTTTTTGGGAGATTTTGTATTGAATTTGGACGACCAGAAAAATTTAAGAATCGAGATGAATCCTGACTATCTTGCAGCCCTAGCTGTGAGACGGCAACGCCGACATGTCAATGTAAATACTTGCACAACATGATCGCCCAACCTTCCAACACAACCCAAACATTCGCCTAAACACGAGAAAATTTTATATCACTGTTGATCGTACTTTGACATTTGTATAATAACTTCTGTACAGCTGCAGGTCTCCTAGCGTCTTAATTATCTATTCCAAGAGGTAATCTGTGAACAACACTGTGGGCTGCATTATTGCGTATATTAAGTTACTGTACTATCTATATGTAATATATATAATGTAGTTGTTAGCTGTTCCACTTTGAATTAAAAAAAAAACTTGTTCGAAGTTCGAAATTAAACCTCTATAACTTCTTCTATTGTATCATATCGAAAAAGTCGTTT